CGGTGCACTCAGAGAGTGGGAAGCTCTATGCTCTTCAGCCCTTGGACTACGAGGAGGTGAAGCTGCTGGAGTTCCAAGTGAGGGCCAAGGATGCTGGGCTGCCCTCCCTGTGTGGCAATGTGACGGTGCAAGTCTTTGTGGTGGATGAGAACGACAATGTGCCAGCTGTGACTGTACCAGTAGAGGAGGCTCCCACCCTTCTGGTGGTCCCCCTGACAGCTGGGCATGTGGTGGGCAAGATCCGTGCCCTGGATGCCGACTCTGGCTACAACGCATGGCTGCGCTATGAGATGCATGAGGGGTCCAGTAGGCTTTGGCGGGTGGGACTGTACAGTGGTGAGATCAGTACAACACGTGCCCTGGAGGAGGCAGAGGGCAGCAGCAGTCATAGTTTGCTGGTTGTGGTGAAGGACCATGGGAAGCCCGCTTTGTCAGCCACCGCCACGCTGAGTATTTCGTTGGTGGCCAGTGTCCAAGCCCTCCCAGCTGATGCTCGCCTTCCCAGAAGGGGAGGGAGCCCCAATCCCCTGGCGGATAACATGAACATCTACCTCATCATAGCCATCTGTGCAGTGTCCAGCTTGTTCCTGCTGGCCATCATTGCGTATACGGCCCTGCGGTGCCATTGCCAGCCTAAGGAGGCCATGGTGTATGGTCCTGGAACAGCCACGCTGGTGTGTGCCAGTGAGGTGGGCAGCTGGTCCTATTCAAATCGCCACAGTCACATCTTGGGCATGACAGGAGACTCCAATGCCAAAAGCGACCTCATGGTTTTCAGCCCCAACATACCTGCTTATGCAGAAAATGGAAAACCGCAGGATCTGCTCTGTGCAACGGTTAGTAACCCCTCTTTTATTTCATATAGTTTGTTCAGAACACTTGTGCAACAACAGGAATACATTGTAATCACATTTTAATGTTTCCAAGGTCCATATGAACCCCATTAAGAAGTATGCCACTGATATTCCAAATATTGGTTAAGGATTTTGTATTTGTATTTGGTCAGAAAGCAACACCTTTCAAATGATCCTTGATTTGTACCTGGTTATTTGGATGATTGTTGTTGTTGTTGTTCAGTTGTTTAGTCGTGTCCGACTCTTCGTGACCCCATGGACCAGAGCACACCAGGCACTTCTGTCTTCCACTGCCTCCCACAATTTGGTCAAACTCATGTTAGTAGCTTTGAGGACACTGTCCAACCATCTTGTCCTCTGTCATCCCCTTCTCCTTGTGCCCTCAATCTTTCCCAACACCAAGGCCTTTTCCAGGGAGTCTTCTTTTCTCATGAGGTGGCCAAAGTATTGGAGCCTCAGCTGTAATCTTGCCTTTTTCAGTTGCTTGTTTTTTTATGAATATCCTCTGTCAGGAGCAAGACAAAGAGATCTGTTCCTTTCTCTGCATTTGACTCGGAAGGTAACATTAGAATTCTTTTCTTAGTTCCTTAATCTAAAAAGAATATTGCAGAGTTGGAGAAAGTTAGGAAAATTGCAACCAAAATGATCAAGGGGACAGAGCAACTCCCTTATAAGGAAATGTTGCAGCATTTGGAACTTTTTAGTTCAGAGTAAAGGAGACATGATAGAATATAAAATAGTGTATAACATATGCATGGCATGGAGAAAGTGGAGAGAGAAATGTTATAGGAATAATGGAGGACGACAGGAGGTTGGATGCAGGTGAGCTGTGCAGAAGCACACTGGCAAGCATGCTCCAAGACAAGCTGCCAGCTAGCTCTGTAGAGGCTCCTTTTATTAGCACAATATGCAAAACCAGTTAGATACATTTTGGACTGTGACTTTTACACCTCTTCCAATCCCAAGATTGAGGGGTGGTACAAAGTTATTTTGGCACCTGTTTCCACCGCATCATTTTCCCCTTGAACAATGTATGACGAAGAAGACAAAGGTCACAGACAGGGCATGGCAGACCACTAAGAGAGCAAAGGTTAGATAGAGGGCATGATGTTCAGACAGCTGTGGCTTTGTCTGCGGATGGAAGTGTGCTCCACACCCAAAGGTCATGCGGTCAGACAGCTGAGGCCTGTCTGCGGGTGGAAGTGTGCTCCACACCCAGCAGTCATTCCTTCAAAACTTTTTCTCCCTCTCATATCACTGGAACTGGTGGAGGTTGGAAGATTTAGGAGAGATAACAGAAAGTACTTTTTCCACACAGCGCATAGTCAAGCTGGGGAATCCGCTCCACCAGGAGGCAGGGATGGCCATCAACCTAGCTGGCTTTAAAAGAAGATGGGGCAAATTCAAGGAGGAGAGGGCTGTTGATAACTGCTAGTCATGATGGCTATCCTGTGGCTCCAGTGTCAAGAGGCTTCTGAATACCTGTTGTGGGTTCCTGGTCTTTATTTTATTTTTCATTTGTAGTTGTGGGTGTTTAGGGAACTTTTTTATTTGTAGAAATTCAAGTTTTCAAATATTCCAGATTTCCAGTCAAAAGAATTTTAAAGAATATTTGTGTGTGTCCCTCCAAATGTGAGGTCATTTCTGGGCATGTAGGCAGGTATTGTTTTCCTGTGAATAGTACCTTTTTTAAAATTGTGAAATACAATGTTGTAAAAAGATTTGCACAAAACAGTAGTTAAAAAAAATGTGTTGCTCCAAGTCAGGCAAGGTTGCACTTCTTTTCTCATTCTTTTTCCTGCGCCCCATAACTGGAAGGACAATTTTTATTTTTAATGCTCCCTCCCCTCCCCCCGTCTATTATTTGGGGTGATGAAAAATAAACAAACAATTCAAGGCAGTGCTTGCTACTGGAGGGAGGCTGCTGGAGGTAAGCACAAGTGCTGCCAGAAAAGAAATGAAAATTGGAGACAGGGGAAGGGGAAGAATTAAAGTGAAGGATTGATCCACTGACAGGAAGACCCCTGATGCAAAGCATCCATTACCCAAAGTGCAGTGGTTTGGGGGAACTTACTCAATTATCTCTGGATTGGGGAAATCTGAATTTAGAAGGTAAAATGTGTGAGATCACAGTTCTCTGCTTGGACAACATGTGGATGGAGTTGAATTAATGAGAACACAAGCAGCTTCAAATCCAAATTATCCTCTAGTGTGGACGAGCCCAACTATAGATCTGAGATTCTGTCTGTGTACATACCATAGCTTTATATTCAAAGCCTCAAAGCATCCTGGAAACTGTAGTTTGTTAAGGGTGCTGGGACTTGTAGCTTTAAAGGCATGGTGTGTATTCCATCTGACCAGAGACATAACCACTACACCTATTAATGAAACCTACCCAACCCTGGTTTGGGGGACCAGATGAACAGATTGCCTTTATCAAGATTATCTGCAGTTACGGACAGCACAGGTGTAATATGTGTGTTGTAATGTGTGTAATATTTAACATTTTCTACTGCACTAAGCCCTATAGGTAGGTCAGGAACCAGCGTGACTCTCTGTCCCCAGTATCCAATTCATAGAGCTGGTCCAGGACAATACCATAGACTGGAATCAGGACCTGAGCTTTTAATTTGTTCATAAGTTATCTAGAATTAGGTGTGAACAGTGAGGTCGTCAGTTTGCTAATAATACCAAATTGTTCATCAGAGGGTTAAAACAAGGAGGGATTTCACTTTTCTCTGAAAGTATTTCTTCTAACTGGGTGAATGAGAGTAAAGAGACAAATGCAGTTCAATGTAAGCAAGTGGAAATCAATGCCCATTGAGGCAACCCCTTCTCCGTGCTTATGCTCATGGGATCTAACCTGGCAGTTGCAGACCAAGAACGAGACCTTGGGATGATAGCGGACAGTGTGATGAAGGTGCCAGTCCGGTGCACAGCGGCTGTGAAAAATGTGAATTGCAAGCAATTGCAAATCAAATTGCCAATATTGTCATTTGTTTATTACCTTTTAAAATATCCCACCAAGGAGTTCAAGGTGGCACACCTTGTTCTGCCTCTTTCCATATTATCCTCACAACAGCACTGTGAAGTTGGTTGAGCTGAAAGTTGGTGACTGGTCCAAGGCCAGGATCATGGCTGACTGGGGATTTGAACCTGGGTCTCTCAGGTTCTTGTCTTGACACTCTAACCACTTCACCACACTGGCTTTATGCCATCATTATCATCATTAGTCACTTTCCTCACAAAAGTGACTATAAGCAAAAACAAATATAAACATGAATACCGATTAGAACAAACACAGCCAATAAAAAAACCCTAACCAACACATCTATACCAATAAAAGACAGGTCTTACACTAAGAGGGGAAACCCATGCACTGGAAACCCTACAAATTAAGGGCCCAAAGTCCAGATAAAAAGGAAAGTTTTTGCCTGGGACCTAAAAATAAAGAGAGCACCAGGCAAGTCTCCGTAGGGAGAACATTTCATAAATGGGGAGCCACCACATAAAAGGCCTGTTCTTGTGTTGCTACAATTCAGACCTCCTGTGGGCCTCAGAGGATGATCACAGGCTTTGGATCAGTTCATGTGGGGATTGATGGTCCTTCAGGTATTGGAGTGCTGAGTCACATAAGAATTTATAGATCAAAACCAGCATTTTGAATTGAGCCTGGAAACTACCGGTAATTAGTAGCAGGTACAGTCATGCTGGAATTGGTGTTACATAATTAGACTGCCCTGCCCTGGTGAATAATCTGGGAAGATAAACACTGTATAATCTATTAACAAAATAATGAGGTTGATTAAAAATTATTTAATAATTAAAATATCAGAAGAGTCTGTAAACCAGGAAAAACAATTTTGGAAGCCCTGCTAAACCACTGTGCTTGCGAATTCAGACACATGGTGTCACTCTTGCCTACAAAATCTCTTCAGGAAACCTAAGGGGATTTGCTGCCCTGCCCTCAGCTGGAAAGCAAATCATTTGATGCAAGAATCCGGAGGAAAAACCCCAGATACCATCAAAATATAACAGACAAAGCAGATTCCACCTTTTCAAGAGCAATTTTCATTAACCAAAGGATGAATTCATAGCATCAGGAAACCTCACATTCTGGCCATCATTCTAAGAAACCACAGCTCAATGGAGGCAGAGAGAAGGCAGCTGCTGCAGCTGATGGTGCTTCACACAGCCTGGATGGTGGGGAGCGGCCAGCTCCATTATTCTGTGCCGGAGGAATCCCAGCACGGCACCTTTGTGGGCCACATTGCCCAGGATCTGGGGCTGGAGGTGGAGGAGCTGGTGCCTCGGATGTTCCGGATGGTTTCCAAAGGACAGGAGGACTATTTTGAGGTAAATGTACAGAATGGTGTTTTGTTTGTGAATTCCCGAATTGACAGGGAGCAGCTGTGTGCTCAGAGTCCCATTTGCATCATTCATCTAGAGATGATTGTGGACAAGCCTCTCAGGATCTTCCATGCAGAGGTGGAGATCAGGGACATAAATGACAATGCCCCCATTTTCCCAGTAAATGAACACCAACTATTTATTTTGGAATCTAGGCTGCTGGGCTCCTATTTTCCACTAGAGGGAGCTTCAGATGCTGATATTGGTTCAAATGGTCTGCTTACCTACATCCTTAGTCCAAATGATCATTTTCAGCTACGTGAAGAAAAGCATGGAGATCTCAGTAAATCTTTAGCACTTGTGCTATACAATGCCCTGGATCGAGAAAAAATCTCTATACATCATTTATTGCTTACTGCCACTGATGGGGGACAACCAGCGCTAACTGGTTCAGTGCAGCTGAAGATAACTGTACTAGATGTAAATGATAATGTACCAATGTTTAACCAGTCTGTGTATGAGGTGCATCTGGTGGAAAACATCACAGAGGGAACATCAGTCATTACTTTGACTGCTTATGACTTGGATGAAGGAACAAATAAAGAAATACTGTATTCGTTTAGCAATATGATGCCTCCCCATTTAAGGCAGGTTTTTTCCATAGATTCCAACACAGGTGAAATCAAAACCAAAGGAAAAATAGACTTTGAAGATATTAACTTATTTGAATTGCAAGTGGAAGCTGCTGATCAAGGGTCCTATTCTTTGGTCGGACACTGCAAAGTTCTGATCCAGGTTTTGGATGTGAATGACAATGCTCCAGAACTGTCTGTGACATCCATGTCTGTGCCAGTGCCTGAGGACTCCCCACTGGGGACAGTGGTGGCCCTGATGAGTATATCGGACAGTGATGCAGGCATCAATGCTCAAGTTAGTTGCTCCCTGTGGCCACATGGACTTCCCTTCAGGCTGATATCCACCTTTAAGAATTACTACTCACTGGTGCTGGCTGAATCCCTGGACCGCGAGGAGGTGGCTGAATACAGACTGGTGGTGACAGCCCAAGATCAAGGGACTCCATCATTGTCAGCTAGCAGCAGCCTTGGTGGTGCCCATCGGTGATGTGAATGACAATGCACCTGCTTTTCCTCAGCCCTCCTACACGGTCTTTGTGAAGGAGAACAACCCACCAGGTGCTCACATCTTCACAGTGTCTGCCTCAGACTCAGATGTGGCTGAAAACGCCCTGGTTAGCTACTGGCTGGATGACAAGCTCTGGCCCCTGTCGAGTTACATCTCTGTGCACTCAGAAAGTGGGAAGCTCTATGCTTTACAACCCTTGGACTATGAAGAGGTGAAGCTGCTGGAGTTCCAAGTGAGGGCCAAGGATGCAGGGCTGCCCTCCTTGTGTGGCAATGTGACAGTGCAAGTCTTTGTGGTGGATGAGAATGATAATGCACCTGAAGTTTCCAAGGCAGCAGAGGCCCCCATCCTGCTGGTAGTTCCTGTTACTGCAGGACACATGGTGGGCAAGATCCATGCCCTGGATGCTGACTCAGGCTACAATGCCTGGTTGCACTATGAGCTGCATGAAGGAAGTAGTAGCTCCTGGCGTGTGGGGCTGTACAGTGGTGAGATTAGTACTACACATTCGCTGGAAGAGACAGAGGGGGTAGGCAATAGCATGATTCTCTTGGTGCTGGTGAAGGATCATGGCAAGCCTGTACAGTCAACCACAGCTACGTTGAGTATTTCCCTGGTGGCAAGCACCCAGGCTGCTCAAGCTGATGCCCACCTCTCCAGAATGGGAGGGAGCCCAAAGCCTCTGGTGGACACTACAAACATTTACCTGATCATTGCCATTTGCTCAGTGTCCAGCTTGTTCCTGCTTGCCATCGTTGTGTATGTGGCTCTGCGATGCCAGTCTCAGCTCGAGGACGGTGCCAGGTATGGTCCTGGCACAGCCACACTAGTGTGCGCCAGTGAAGTGGGTAGCTGGTCATATTCACAACGTCATAGTCGCAACCTGGGATGTGTGGCTGGGGAAGCTGGTATCAAGAATGACCTCATGGTTTTCAGTCCCAATATTCCTGTCTTTGCTGTCAACACAGGAGTAGGAAATGCAAAGGAGCTGGTTCCAAATTTATCTGGAGAGGTGAGTCACATGGAAGCCTTAAGAATATTTGTAACTGATGCTCTTGTATTCCTTTCTCATTTGAATGCATGGCATTATACTATAGGACACCATATAAAGAGACAATGGGGCTTGATTGCTCTGTGCACTTCTATATATTTATCTGTTCTCTTTCTTAATTGAATTTCTTGCCTATCCTTCCACCCAGGCTCAAGACAGATGCAAGTTTGCTTACAATAAAAAAAATGTATAAAAGTAAAAATGTATAAAAAAGTATTAAAAAAGTATATAATTCATTTCATACTTACAATATTTGATGGACCTCCAGTGAGAATATTACAGTGCAGTAGGAGGTGTGGGGGAGGAATTCAGTGAATGGATCTGTCTAGTTGACGTCCTTCGCTGTTTGAAGCTTTCCCTGAGGAGAAGGTATTTTGGATATGTAGGCTTAAATCTCTTTAATTGTGATGTAGCTTTGCAGGAAAGGGTGTAGGAAGCTTGGCTAGATGCCTGTGTCCTGTGATGTACCCTAGTCTCTAGGCAGCTCTGACATGCATGTGTTTCAGCGCATTGGTTCCTTTCAAATCGCTATCACTGTGGAAATCCCTGACGTTTCTATGAACTCTGGTCAAGTTTTCAAGGGATATCCTGCATTAACAATTAGTCATTACCGACACTTTTTAAAATTAAAAACTATTTGGTGGGACATACTATTGGGTAGGATCATGATGATGACATAGCAGCAACAATCTTAGAAGTGGCTTCAGATGTCCATTCAGCCACAAATTGCACAAGGTAGGCTAGGCCCACTCATTATCATTCAGCCTAATCTGTATTATAGAGGCGATAAAACATATATATTACGACCAGAGCTTCAGATTCCAGTGATAGGAGAAAGTAATCCTGAAAATATTTGCAAAGGTAGTTTTTGCAAGACCATCCTTTTTTGTTACCCATTCTTAAAAATAAGGTGGAATTACAGTAATGGTGGGCTTTCAGGGAAAACAGGAATAATTTGGGCTCAGATCAAGTGAGAAAATGTCTTTTTATAATGTGTGATTAGCATCATGTATCTTAATTTTATTTGTAATGACAAAGTAAAACCAGATGATGAGAACAGTTTGGAATTACATGACCAAACGGCTACATTTCTGCATCCATTTGTTTAACCTATGTCATTGTTGAAAACCATTACAGCAATTGGGCCATCACTATCCCTTAGCCTATTCTACGTCACAGGGTTGTTGTGCAAATAATGAGCAGGGAAACGTGCTGCTCTGAGCTACTTGGAGGGCAGGTTGCATAGAATCATAGTAAACAAAATGAACCCAAGAGAACAGAGCTCTTCAACTCCAGACTCCAGATATGCTATTCAATTTGTCAGCATGCCCGCTTTCCCTGAAAAATCCCAACAACTCATTGTTCTGATAAAGATTCCTTTTAATATTCTTTAGAATAAAGAACTCCTCAGGCCTTTAAAGGCTGACAGATTGAGGAAGAAATTAATTTCTCTGGATCAAACCACTTCACTGTTTGAATTAGAACTCCATGAATAAAGTATGCACTGAAGCTTATGATTGGTCGCCCTTAACTATTCAAATAGCACCATCAGTGTGCATGGTATTTTATAGAGTGAAAGAGGATATGTCTGTGCTCCGAGGAACTTACAATCTAAAGCACGGCATAAAGGAAGCATAATCAGATGGACCCAAATGAAACAGTGCAAGACTGACTTGGGCATATGTAAATAGGTTATCTTGTGACTTCCAATAATCATGACCCATCATTTGTGACACTTCCTGTTCTTCCTTTTTCTTTCTTGACGTGGCAGAGGGATTTTGCTCAGCTCTCAGGCTGTCAGCACTGTGACAGTGGCCTGGCCTTCATTGTATAGGGTGACGGGACAACTGTGGACTAGTGACAAGATAAACTTGCCCCTTTGGCCCCTTGTGAAAACATAGTGAAGGAAAAATGGCCAAGAAACAAAAATAAGAGCTTCTAAAATGAGTAGAACACTTCTAACAATGTGGGTAACCCAATACAAAACTCTAGGGGAGCCAAACAATTTTGATTTAATTTTGGCCAGTTAAGTCAACATGCATTCTCTACCTAGGCTTTATTTCTTTAAAAAAACACTGTGATGTGGTTACGAGATACTAACTTTTCAAGGAAAAAAATATTACAATACAATATCAGCAAAATGCAAACGAAGCCTACTTTATTATAGAGCCAAAAAAATAGGGAAAATAAGAAGGAAGGAACATTTGTATGCCACTAATACTGATTTGTCACAAGATGTCGCTATCCACTGAAAATCAAAACGCTCTTTTGATACAAAGATCAAAGCCCCTCCCAGCAATTCAGAAAGAACAGAGACCATCAGAGGACAGAATGGATGCAACAGCGTAACAACTGACTGATTCCCAGCCTTTAATGCCATCACGAAAGAGTGGATTTAATTTTTGAAACCAGGAATAAGACTTACCATTGCTATGGTTGTTTTGCTCCGATGCAGCTTGATGAGAAGGCAGCTGCTGCAGCTGTTTTTCATCTGCATGGCTTGGGAGAGAGGGAGCGGCCAGCTCCATTATTCAGTGTCTGAAGAATCCCAGCATGGCACCTTTGTGGGCCGCATTGCCCAGGATCTGGGGCTGGAGGTGGAGGAGCTGGTGCCTCGGATGTTCCGGATGGAGTCTCAAAGCCAAGGGGACTATTTAGAGGTAAATGTTCAGAATGGGATTTTGTTTGTTAACTCTCGAATAGACAGGGAGGAGCTGTGTGGCAAAAGCCCTTTGTGTGCCATTCACCTGGAGGTGATTGTGGATAAGCCTCTGAGGGTCTTTCATATTGAGGTGGAGATCAAGGACATAAATGATAATGCTCCTACATTCCCTCAAATAGAACAAGATGTCTTTATTTCAGAAATGAGAATGCCTGGATCATTTTTCCCTCTGGTGGGAGCCTCTGATGCAGATATTGGTTCCAAATTCTCACCTCACCTATACACTCAGCCCCAGTGAATATTTTAGTCTAGATGTTCAGAGGAAACATGATGAAAGTCAATCACTAGCACTCCTTTTAAAAACCTCTCTAGACAGAGAGGTGAGAGCTAAGCATCGTTTGCTGCTCACAGCCATCGACGGGGGGAAGCCAGAGCTCAGTGGCACAGCACAGCTGGTGATTTCTGTTCTTGATGAAAATGACAATGCACCTGCCTTTAATCAGTCAGTTTATAAAGTCCAAATGGCAGAGGATGTTCTAAGTGGAACATTAGTGATTAAATTGAATGCCACAGATATGGATGAGGGAATCAATAAGGAGATTACATACTCATTTCAGAATCATGTGCCTGTTAAATTAAAAAACATATTTGCCTTAGATTCTGTTAATGGGGAAATAAGAACAAAAGAAAAATTAGACTTTGAGGAAAATCACCAATATGAGATTCAGGTACAAGCTAGCGACAAAGGGAGCAATCCAATGACAGGGTATTGCAGTGTTGTGGTGGAAGTGCTAGATGTCAATGACAATGCCCCTGAGATGTCATTAAAATCACTCCTGGTGCCAGTGCCAGAGGATTCCCTGCCTGGAATGGTGGTGGCTCTGATCAGTGTCTCAGATCAGGATTATGGCACCAATGGACAAATAAGCTGCTTCCTGCACCCCCCCGAACTTCCCTTCAAGTTGGTGTCCACCTTCAAGAATTACTACTCTCTGGTAGTGTCTGAGCCTCTGGATCGGGAGCAAGTGGCCGAATACAAGCTGCTTGTAACAGCTCAAGACCAAGGGACTCCATCGCTGTCAGCCACCAGCAGCCTGGTGGTGCCCATTGGTGATGTGAATGACAATGCACCCGCTTTTGCACAGCCATCTTACACAGTCTTTGTGAAGGAGAACAACCCACCTGGTGCTCACATCTTCACTGTGTCTGCCTCAGATCCAGATGTGGCTGAGAATGCGCTGGTCAGCTACTGGATCGATGAGAAGCTCTGGCCCCTGACAAGCTACATCTCGGTGCACTCAGAGAGTGGGAAGGTCTATGCTTTACAGCCCTTGGACTATGAAGAGGTGAAGCTGCTGGAGTTCCAAGTGAGGGCCAAGG